CTGGTACTGGGAGGGGCTATAGGGGAAAGTGACAATGGGGGAGGGTGCTAGGGGGCTGTAAATGGGAACAGGGCAAGGGGGGGGGAAGATACTGGAGGGTCTGTGGGCTAAAGGGCCAATGGGGGATTGTAGAGGGAAGCAGGAGGATACTGGGGGGGCAGGGACAATGGAGGAAGGTACAGAGCGGTTGTAGGAGTATCCCAGAAATGTAGGATTTGAAGGGGTCTCACTAGGTCATCTAGCTCAGGCTCCTGCACTAAGATAGGACTTATGTGGACCATCCCTGACAGGTGTTTGTCTAACTGGGCTAAAGGGCCAATGGGGGATTGTAGAGGGAAGCAGGAGGATACTGGGGGGGCAGGGACAATGGAGGAAGGTACAGAGCGGTTGTAGGAGTATCCCAGAAATGTAGGATTTGAAGGGGTCTCACTAGGTCATCTAGCTCAGGCTCCTGCACTAAGATAGGACTTATGTGGACCATCCCTGACAGGTGTTTGTCTAACCTGTTCTTAAAATCTTCCATCCTCCCTAGGTAATTTGTTTCAGGGCTTAATTACTCATACAATTAAGGAGGATTTTCTAATGTCTAACCTAAATCTTCATGGCTTACTTTACTTTCAACGTCTTCTCCTGTCCTAACTGGACAATGAGAACAATTTATCACCCTCTTTTTCATAACATTTTACATACTTGAAGTTTGTTATCATGCCTCCATTTTCTCTTCTTCAAAACATTTCCTGTAGATTTTTTTCTTTATATCTAATCATTTTGTTGCTCTGCTCTGGGCCTTCTCTAATGTGTCCAAATCCTTCCCAAAGTGTTGCTCAGAACTGGCCATAACACTATTATTGAGGCACTTATCAGTGTGGAATGAGTGGAACAGAATTACTGCTCAAATCTTCCTTACAGTGCTTCTTCTAAAACTTCCTAACATTCCTAAATTTTTTTGCAATAGTGTTATACTGTTGACTCATAGTTTGTGACCCACTACCACTCACCCTTTTCTGCACAACTCCTTCCTAGACAGTCGTTTTCTTTTTTATATTTGATACAGTGCATTTGTGCTTCTTGAATTTCATCCTAGTGATTTCAGACCATTTCTCTAGTTTGTCAGTATAATTTTGAATTTTGTGTTCTCCAAAGTGCTTTGCAACCTCTCATATCTTGGTGTTGTCCATAAATTTTGCCAACGCATTCTTTCTCCATTAGCCATATTATTGAAGAAGATATTGAATAGAATTGGACCTAGGACAGATCCCTATGGAACCCCACTTGCTATGTCCTTTGAGATTGATCGTGAATCACTGTTCTTTTCCCTAAGTATGATTTTCCAAGCAGTTTTGCACTTACCGTAGGGATTTGTCAAGGCTATATTTCTCTAGTTTATCAGGGCAAGCAATGGTATTATCTTAATTTGTAAGCAGCTTGAAGAAAATGTGTATTTGCTGCACTATTTTTTCTAGATATTGAATTTTAAGCTGACTGGTCTGTAAGTCCCTAAGTTGTCCTTATTGCCCTTTTTACACATAGGTACTATATTTGCTCTTTTCCAGTCCAAGGAAAGGGCAATGATGGGCAGGATGGTTTAGAGGTGGGGAAGAGGCAATGAGCTCTAAAAAAAAATCTATTTTTTAAAAATGAAGCATCTGTTTATTCCACAAATACAGCTATGAAGGGCTGAGGCATCGTTTGGAGAGCTGAGCAGGCATAAATGACCAACTGCACACAGCCTGGCTGCAGTGCCAAAACAAAACCCTTAAGATGGAACCACGCAGCCTCCAAAATGAGATTAAGCAGCAGCTGATATTGCATTAACTGAACAACAGCTAGAAAAAGGGAATCAGCTAAAGTACTACCAGGGTCAAGTTAGCTGTTCTGACAATTGGGAGTCTCCTAAAGAGGCTCCTTAGCAAGTAAACTTCAGAGAACCGAGACAGAAAGAATCTCTGGATCTGAACCGTCACTTTTCTTTTGCTTTCAGACGTGAGAAATGCCTTCCGACGATCACTGGTCTGCAGAGGAAGAGGACAGTCAAGTATCTAAACTGACACGGAAAGCCAGAGACTCTCCCTTTGTCCCTGTAGGTGAGTCAAATGTTTCCACTCACATTGAGTGCTATGGACAGAGTTTTATTGTAATAATTCAGACCTGTTTTCTCTAGAAATAACCTGCATCACTGAGGGTATTTCTACACTACAGCCTTATTTCGAAATAGCTTATTTCAAAATAATACAGAAATAGCATTTTGCTATTTTGAAATAGCACGTCCACACTGAGTGGACGCTGAATCGCATTTAAGGCTGGCCGGAACCAGGTCCGGCAGGGCATTGGGTCAGGAGTTTACCTTGTGGCCAGGATGGCTAGCTGGGCACCTTGGGAAGGGCTGAAGACCCCCTATTTCAAAATAAGTGTCTACACAGCGCTTACTTCAAAATAGCAATTTCGAAATTGGTGCTATTCCTCGTGGAATGAGGTTTACCAATTTCAAAATAAGCCCTCCACTATTTTGAATTAATTTCGAAATAGCAGTTGGCTTGTGTAGACACTAGGAAAGTTATTTCGAAATAACAGTTGTTATTTCGAAATAACTTTGCTGTGTAGACAATACCCTAACTGAAGAGGTTAAGGGATTCTTCCCCTTCCTCCCCCCAGAAATAGCTAAAATTTACATGGGTTAAACATGGAACAGCAAAATTGATACTACTAGTGTGAAGTCCTAGGTTTTTTCCTCTGTTAATTGTAGTATGCCATTACTCTTTTGTAATAGGGTGACTAGAGTAGAGCTCTGTTGCAAAGGTAGCTGTTACTTTATCAGTAGTCATATGGAATCCTATTGAACTCCTACATTTAAAAGGTGACTTTACTGTTATGGTGCAACTACTTTCATTTCCCATTATGCCTTCTACATGGGATTTCTTCCCTATACTCAGGGCTTTACAGTTTCCATATTCACACACCATTGACCTGGGTCTTCATTTAAAAATCAATATATTCAAGCAAGACGAGTCACGTACAGAATGCAAGTTCTTAGGAACTGTACAGACGTGGAAAGGCAAGGGGAAGTCTGGCAAAGTTGTATCCGTCAAACTTCATTAGGTTTCCCTAACATTTGACAGTCCTGCTGGCGTTGCTGCTGCTAAAACAGAAGCTTTTCTCAACCTTAAAGTGATTTGTACGTACTGCGCTAAATGAACACAGGCTAATCTGTATACACTGTTATCAATTTAACAGGTTGCAAGAACACAGCCTGCTTTTTTGCAGCATGTGGGGGTGGTTGTAATTGAAAGATAAAAGAATAATTTAGTTATTCAATCTATGTGTCAAACAACAAAAGTAATTGAAAGTGATTTACAGGCCCTGAGTTATCTATAAAAGCCCATTCCAACCCTCCCCCCCCAAAAACCTACACTAAACAAAACCCCCCCAAACAAAACCAAGGCAGAGATAAAATTAAGCCTCTAGATGATGCTTCCTTCCCTACTTCAGAAATAAAGAGTCAGATAATAGAGTAAGTATAGCAAAACTGGATGGTTTTGGGACAAAAACCATCATTGTCTAGTAGAGGAAGTTGGTGGTTTCTGTTAAAATAGCACCTCTAATTTAAGATTTGGTCAACACTGCTTTTTGAGTTAAGCATTTGCAGAATACGCTGATTCCTCACCCCAGGCACTATTTGGTAGATTTTAGCATATGGAATGTGGTACTTAGATTACTCTATCTGGCACACTTTAAGCTAAAGTCACCTGTTCTGGCTTTACAAGTTTATTGAACTTTCACCCTCCTTTTCAATGCATAGGAATGGCAGGCTTTGTTGCTGTCGTGGGCTATGGGCTCTATAAGTTAAAACACAGAGGAGATCAGAAGTTGTCCGTCCATCTCATTCACATGAGAGTTGCAGCACAAGGCTTTGTCGTAGGCGCAATAACAATAGGTAAGAGACTGATTTGTGCAGGGACCTTTTCAAGACACCTTTGCAAGTCGCTGAGTCTTTTCTGGGGGGTGGATGGGTGTTCTTTTGTCCATATAGTGAGCTTACTCTAGGCTGCTTGACTTACCTCTGCTTTCAGAGAGTTTGCCACCCATTCCAAAACTAAGCTTTTTTCTGTAAATCACGGATTCAAATTGGGGATACATCCATTAGGGTTTTTTTGGACCATTTAATGTCTAGCTGTTAACTTCTTTGCACCACCTATTTTTAGGGTACTGAGAGAAGACATTTTTAATTGCTAAATAATTTTACCTCTGCTGAAGTTTACAGATATTTTTAATTCAGTGACAAAAAACAAAACTATTTATAGGAAGGGGAATTTCTGAACTACGTTTCATATACAAATCACCAATAGATAACAGTATCTGCTCTCTTGTTAGGCGTTCTTTTCTCTATGTATAAGGATTACGTTCAACCTCAGTTCAAGAGTGGGGCCAAAAAGTGAACTGACTTCGTGGGAGCAAGCCGGAAAGGAAAGCATATGTTAGTATTAATTATTTAGAATGTCTAGACGTAAACACTAAGAATGTGAAATAATCATCATCAGGACTTCTGTTAGCTCTGCCACTGAACGTGCTCTATGCTAAAGCCAACTGTTGGAATTGGTACCTAAACTCACAGTATCCGTGAGGCAAGAGACTCAGTCAATTCTAATGTTTCCGCATTTCCTGCCAGCTAGAGTACTGTGCAAGAAGCAGAACTTATCTGCCTACATCAAGCTCAGAATGGTGCAAAACTCCCATGCCTCCCAGTTTGGAAACTGGGCTCCAATAGGCAAAGAGCAAGATAGTTCTTCGGGGCTGGCAGCAGATCGTTAACAGAAGACCTGAATAATCCAATGTCTTGTAACACTGCTGGGTGTCTAAATGTTTGTGCTGATACATTTAGTAGACTGCTATGTATTTATGCTATTTTTTGTATTGAATGTTGATATATAGGGTAGCCCAATTGGTTAAAATAAAACACTGTTTCAACTTGCTGAAGCCAACAGTTACAGCTGCATTAAGTAGATTTCTAAGCAGGAGCATACCATGAAATACTGGGGCTTTATCTCTCCTTAGAAGTTGAAAGTACTACTGCAGGAGCACAGGCTGGTTCACACTGGTTGCTTCACAGCACTGCAACTTGCTGTGCTTGGGTGGGGGTGGGGATGAGTGTTTTTTCACACCCCTGAGCCAGAAAGTTACAGCACTGTAACGTGCCAGTGTAGACTCAGCCCAGGTCACTGCTCTTTGGCCTATTTCAAGTCATTGCTATTGAGACCTTCACCTGTCAGACAAGTTTGGTTTAACAAAGATGCTCTCTAAACCACAGCAGCAATTAAAGTGATGCAGGGAAAGAATTTAGAAGAGCCTCTTCCTTCCAACTGAAGCAACAGTGTTTGCAAACACACTCTGGTAGCTATTTAAGAGCTCCCCGGAGATAACACTGTTAGAGGAATGCCTGATTCAGTTACTGTACGGGCAGCAAAATGCCTGCCTCAGAAAAATGGCTGCAAATTACAGCCAGCACCAACTGGGGTGGAGGCAGGCTGCTTCTAGAGGGAATCAGCAGAGGAAGGACTATTCCTCAAGCTTAAACCAAGATCCTTAGTGTTCCTTGTATGTAGCTACAGCAGCTGGCCAAAGCCCAGTACCTAAACACTAGGCCACTTGCTAGATGCCTAATCCACATTGGCAAAGGTAACATTTTAATGGGATTTACTAAAAACAAAGCAAGTTCCACCTGCAACAGACTTAGTCTGTGTCTGCACTACAGCCCTTATGCCCAGATAGCTATACCACTGGAAGGTCTCCCGTGTCGCTGTTCTTAGCCAGCAGGAGAGAACTCTTCTGCTGGCATAATTAAACCACCCCTAATGAGCAGCATTAGCTGTGTCGGCAGGAGAATCTTTCCTGCACAAGGAGCTGTCCACACCAGCTCTTTTGCCTGTGTACCTGTGTATGTCGGGGGGGGGGTGGATGGGAAAAATTTTTATAGCACGCACATGTTTACACCTTTCCACATTAACTGGTGGGTTTGGACACCATTGCTCATGCTGCACTTCAGTCCAAACTTGAGGGTCTCACTATGATTTGGAGCCAGACAATATCCTCTGGTATACTGCATTCAGCCCTCACACTGTTGTTAGTGCTTTATGTGTATGTCGGGGGGGGGGTGGATGGGAAAAATTTTTATAGCACGCACATGTTTACACCTTTCCACATTAACTGGTGGGTTTGGACACCATTGCTCATGCTGCACTTCAGTCCAAACTTGAGGGTCTCACTATGATTTGGAGCCAGACAATATCCTCTGGTATACTGCATTCAGCCCTCACACTGTTGTTAGTGCTTTACTTCCCTCGCCTGTCAGAGCTACAAGAGTTTGCAGGTGTTCTTATTGTACAGTCTGTTCTTTTACAAAAACAGCTAGTCAAAGTTAACTTTCTGGGTCATCTGACCTGAAGAACATCAGCATTATTTCTTAAGCAAATGAAGCCTGAACAGAAAAAGCTGAAGTGAATTTGATGCATTTGACTTGTGATGAACAGGATGGAAGTCTAAAGTGTAATGAACACATGTAATAAATTAGTGCCAAATACACAGGGATAGAAATGTTTCATTGGTAAGAGATTTAATTAAAAAGCAGAAGATGCCTCAGACCTGAGTCCACATACATATGTATAAAAATATAATTCACAGTGTCTTCCATTTGAAGGCTGTTCCTGCCTCACAATTCTTAGCACAACTGCAAAAGATTTTTGTTAAAGGATAAAACCTCTTTCCCAGCCAGAATATCATGGCCTCAAGTTCTGAGTTTGGAAACATCCAATTCTCAGAAACTATCCTAATCATTCAAGCCTTCTTCAAAGGGCACAAATGCTCATGTTCAACTCCCTTTGTGTAAAGCCAGTCCTGGGAAAAGTTAACTCCATTGTGTGCTTAGCTGGCTTAAGATAAAGATACATTTCTCATTGGCAGATGGAAGTTGCTGTGGAACTGTGCACACGACTTTATTCAGTTACATTTATGTCTGGAAGAACTACAAGAAGAATGTTTTGAAGTTCCCTCTTCAGTAGTTAACAGGCATGTTCCACAGCGAGCACTCTTAATAGAGCAGTTTCCACTCCTCTAAACTGCATAGACAGTTACTTAAACCAAGGATTCTATCGATCCCTCGTAGTAAAAACTAAACTTGCATTGCTTCTCTAGTTTGTATTTTGGTCTTAAAATTGAGACTTCAACACACTGTTGGTCAAACTTGATGGCAAAGAAAAAGTTAGATCGAATGCACAAAGATACAACTCTTTGTACTCTCCCATCTCAGTTACACTGCTGTTACCATTCCTGGGCAGCAGTCAGCAATGGAGTTGTGGGGGCATGAGGGAAGCACCTGAAATAAAATCCTAGAGCAGCTCACTATTGAAAAATAGTCCAGAAGCTTGGAAGAGGTGGGCAGAGAAGTGAAGCTAGCCACATGCTTAGCACAAGAGACTTCTTCAGACAGCCATGGTGGAGGTTAGGGAGGTCTGAAGTGGTAGGTGCTAGAGAGGCAGTGGCTGGGGGAGGGGGGCAACTCCCCCCCTCCATACCCGCCCCCAATTGCCTCTGATAGAGCAGGAGGGGCGTGGAGAAAGCTGTGTGGTTAACCATGTACAGGTTGCACCTTTATAAACTGGAACTCTGGTCCGGCAACATCAGAGGACTGGAAGGACCATGGATGTTCCAGGATCAGAGTCCCGGTGTGCTGCAGGTGTTTGGGGAGGAAGGAGGGGGCCAGGAGCCCAGCGCTATGCAAGGAGGGCGATGTGGCCCAGCTGGTCTGTGGGGCCAGAAATGACATCCCCGGTCTTGAAAATCCCTCCCTCAGGGACCACTCAGGCTCTGAGGGTGCCGGACAATTGCAGTCCAACCTGTACACAGTCATTTCCCAAGTAGGTGCTCAGTTAGTATAGCAATGAGAATCCTAAGCACCTGGACAGATAGGGAAGGGAGCAGAAATGGAAGAGCATGTACTCTGCATTTTACAGCCTTTGTACGCTACTTCCTTAGGTTCCAGTGGATTTGTACTTTGCACTCTGCTCAAGCTCGTTCGTTAGCTCAATGAGAGGTAACAGTTTCCTTAGTGTACGTCCTAAATGAGATCTTTCAAAATCAAATGTGAAATCTTAACATTACTCATTTAGACAGCCTCCTAAAAGCTGGAGAACATTTTAGTGTCCCATGATTTAGTGGACCTAAGAAACACCAAAGTAAAGTAAGTTTAGATCTGAATCAATAAGACATTCAAATACCTATAATTTACTACCCAAATAATTTACAGTTAGAAAAAGGACAAGAGAAAATATTTTGAGTACCTAAAGGGAAGACAAACCCATAGGGTGTGAGGTTGTATGCACTAGTTTGACTCTGGCTCTTCACTGGTCCTGCGAGAACCTCAAGTATCTGTGGATCCATCCGACACTCCTCTGCAGCTGTGAGTGTTATCCTGTGTGCTCCGCGGAGGAAATCTTTGTGACATTCATGATCCTTAGACCACACCCATTTCTGAACTAACCAAGAGTAAGGAAAATCCTTGTCTGCAGCACAGAGGGGCATCCCAATTGCTTTTGCTCTGACTACTGCAGTTCAGGGAATCATCTATTCACAACTGAGTCTGCATCAACATTGTTCAGAAGGAAGAGTTCAGGGTGAGTAGTGAGTCCCAGCTGATACTAGAGAAGGCAAAGAAGAAGAATATTAGGGAAACCACTTTGAAAACAAACAAACAAAAAAAACCTCCAGAAGCCAAAGACAACGAAATCAAGTGTGATTAGGTTGAAGTCACCAAACAAGAGGGTTTGTGCTTTGGCTTTCTTCAGCCTGAAACTTAACAAGTCCTTGATCAGTGCTTCAAGTCCAGAGGTAAAACAGAAACATCTTATTTGATTCAGACAATGAGTTTCACAGGACTTTTACAACCCCAAAGTGAAATCAGCCTGACGTCTATGGAGAGACTACTCCTTCAGTGCAGAGAGTAATTGAAACAATGGTCTGCTACAAGCAGACTGTCACGACCAAGTTCTTTTCCAGCAGTTCAGTGCTATTCTCTCCAAAGTGCTACGCACCAAGCAGTTTTGTCTCACTAAGGGCTTGCCTACAGCATGATTTAGTGCCCAGCAAGCCAAGGTGTTCGAAGCAGCAGTGTGTCAAAGCACATTAGTGTGCGGAAGCAGGGGCTGTGCGATCAGTTAGTGCCACGTAGACAAGCCCTTAGGAACTGGTACTGCTAGAAGGCCAAAGTAGCCCCAAACCACACAGTACAGTAGAACCTCAGAGTTACGGACACCAGCATTATGAACTGGTTGGTCAACTACTCCCCTCATTTGGAACCGGAAGTACACAATCAGGCAGCAGCACAGCCAGAAAAGCAAACACAGTACAATCCCCCTGTTAAACATCAACTACTAAAAAAGTAAAGGCAAAGTTTTAAAAAAAAAAGATTTAACAAAAATAAGGAAGCTGTTTCTGGGATTGTTTCATTTAAATTAAGACGGTTAAATGCAGCGTTTCTCCTCTGCGTAGCAAAGCTTCAGAGTTCTATTAAATCAATAGACAGCTGTTGAAAGAACCACGATATTTTATAAAAGTTACAAACATTTCAGAGTGACAAACAACCTCCATTCCTGAGGTGTAGGTAACTGAGGTTCTACTGTAGCTCATAAGGTCACCTAACCCATAATCCGATAGGTAAGAATCGTACTTAACTCAAATGACTGATTCTTTGGTCCTGCCACTTACGTTATACAAAATAAAATAAAATTCAAGTTTTATTAGGCTGTTAGATGTTTAAAAATTGCTTTGATTGCTGCTGATCAAAGTAAAAACCAAAGCATGAATCTGACTTATCAATCTGATAAATTAATACCATAGTTATCTGATTTATTGAAGTTATTAGGATTAATCTGAAGGTATGTCATTGGAATCACCGAAGCAATACACAACTGATTAAAAACAAAGGAAATTCATCCATTAGAACAGACAAGAAACAGATTTTTCCTTCTTGTCTATGCTGGTTATTCCTTATTACCCAGGGGCGGTCTGTCCATATAGGCCAACTAGGCAGTCGCCTACGGCGGCAAGTTAAATGGTGGCGCCAAATGGTGGCGCAAGATCATTGAGGGGTTTGGAGGTGGGGGCATCCATTGCTGGCAGCTAGTCTAGGGCCACCCCTGATTACTATAGATCTCATACATTAATTAACTACTGATTAGAGTAGGAGTACAAAGTGTGATCCAACAGGAAAACCCAATTTCCATTTAATTGGAACACAAGATTCACCCTTTTAAAGTAGTGTGAATTAGTTATGGAAAGTTAAAACAACACATAGTCTTGCAGCCCCTTAAAGACTAACAAAATACGTAGATGGTATCATGAGCACAACCCACTTCCTCAGAGGAATGGGGTTATTAAAGGTCCAGTTTCAAAATAAATAGGGGGTGGGGGAGGAGAAGGGAAAAAAAGGGAAAGAAGTGGTCAATTAGAGTCTCTATGGGTGTGTCTAGACTACATGGCTCCCATCGATGGAGCCATGTAGATTAGGCTGATTGGCAAAGGGAAATGAAGCCGCGATTTAAATAATCGCGGCTTCATTTAAATTTAAATGGCTGCCGCGCTGATAACATCTCCTGTCGACAGAACTCTGTCAACAAAAGGCGTTACTCCTTGTAGAATGTCCATCAGATTAGGCTGATAGGCAAAGGGAAATGAAGCCACGATTTAAATAATCGCATCTTCATTTAAATTTAAATGTAAATTTAAATGGCTGCTGCGCTGAGCAGACAAACAGCTGATCAGCTGTTTGTCAAATCAGTGCGCTAGTCCGGACACTCCCACGCTGACCTGAAAGCCCGTTATCGACCTCCCCTTTATGCCTCGTAGGATGAGGTTTACCGGGGAGGTCGATAAAGGGCTTTCATGTCGGCAGGGGAGCGTCCAGACCAGCGCGCTGAGCCGACAGACAGCTGATCAGCTCTTTGTTGGCTCAGCGCGGCAGCCATTTACATTTAAATGAAGCCGCGATTATTTAAATCGCGGCTTCATTTCCCTTTGCGGAACAAACAAATCTACATGGCTCCGTCGACGGAGCCATGTAGTTTAGACGTACCCCAAGTGACTATTCCTTTCCCTTCCCCCCCCATCCATCTCCTATTTATTTTGAAACTGGACCTTTAATAACTCCATCTGAAGTGCATTGCCCATGAAAGCTCATGATACCATCTACATTTTGTTTGTCTTTAAGGTGCTGCTAGATTACATTGTTGGTTTTTAAAGTTTTTCCAGTTACAGACCATCTCGGCTACCCCTCTGAAGCTTACAGAAAGTTGTTAGGCTAACCGTGGATATTGTTCAGTGCAACAGGTTTACTATGGCAGGGCATAATCTCAGGTAGCCAGAGATAACCAGTTATTTATCTTGTATCTGAACAGGTTTCAGTCTCTAGTGGTCAGCCAAAGAATAAACCCACTGTGCTTTAGGACCACAGGGTTACATCAAATCCTGTTTGTATCTAGTTTATGTCTCAACTGCAGGAGTTTGAGGACTCTTTGTAAAAGGGATGTGTGTCCGATTTACACATTTCAATGGCTGTCTGTAAGTTTATTTAATGGACACAATATTTCACATCAACAGATATTCTGAAAACATGCATGGGACACAGATGCAATATCTCCTTATTATTTGTGTGGTGGGGAGAAGTGGAAGTCATGGACGGCATCTCTCTGTTACAATTTCCTGTTACAACTACAGGCAGTCCCCGACTTACGTCGGATCCGCACTTACGAACGGGGCTTTCTCGCCCCGGAGGTCGAGGTGGCGGATTGCTACCTGCGAGCTCCGGAGCGAGAAAGCCCCGTTCGTAAGCTGCTCCGGTGCCCCTGGTCTGCTGGAGACCGTCTCCAGCAGACCAGGGGTACTGGGCGTGTTCCTGCGCTTCTGAGGCTTTGCCAGAGCAAAGCCTCAGAAGCGCGGGAAC